CCATTTTGTATTGTTATTATAAACTGTTGCAGGAGTAAGCGTCATAGTTGGAGAATGCTCCAGCTGTGAACCTTACTGAGATTTTCCCCAAAATCTCACCCCCCTTGACCACCCATTTCAGGAAAAGATGAAAGAAAGTAATAAGAAAGTTATGTGGGAAAGAAAGGGTAAGAGACTGGTACGTAAAGAAGAAGAAACTCCACCTACCTGGGAAGAGAAACTAAAGGATCTAACAGATAGAGGCCTATGGACTGAGGCTATGAAATTATTAATAGAAGCTTTTCCACATTATGATTTCGATGAAGCACTAAGTACACAATGGCTAGAGGAACCACAACCACATTATGACTGGCTTATGATACGGCATAAATTATGTTTTTATTTATGATATGCCGGATCCATACCGGGCATATCCGAAGGTTTCCATGCAAACAAATCAGCATTCTTTTTCAACAAATGCTTCAAACTCTCTGCCACATCGGGCTCCAACTCGGACCCCATCTTAGTACACTGATGTGGAGATATCCCTAATTGAACTTCTTCCATTGCACCGGCGGGTTCCGGCCTATCCGCCTTGTCCTCCTCCCGAGGGTCCATCTCCACCACCATTACTTGTTCTTCTTTCTTTCCTTCTTCTTCTCTTTGTATATTCCCTTCTTTGGCTTGTTGTGGAGGTTCCACAATATTTTTCTCCTTACCTGCTTGTGGAACTCGTAGACTCATATTATAACAACTCCGAGAAACCACTTGGTCTGCCTTTATCGTAGCTACTGACTCATCTTTGGCCACAAATTTCATAGCCAACTGATCAATCGACAAGAAGATTTTAAACTTCTTCATAAATGGCCGCCCCAAGATAACATTGTACGCCGAGCTCAATTTTACTGCTGCAAACATCAAAGTGACCGTTTTGTGCGCGGGCGCCTTGCCTAACGTCATCCTCAATGGGATATATCCCAATGGCTTAATTTTATCTCTCGTGAAAGCTAATAACTCGGCTCCACATGGCTCCAACTGGTCATAATCCAAATCCATTCTTCTAAACGCATCCAAAAATATAATGTCCACCGAGCTCCCCGGGTCTAACAACATTCTATCAACCCCGAAAGCTTGCTAGCAGCCCAGAAATGACTAAAGGATCGTCGTGCTCTGGATCAATTATCTCATCAGGTCATCAAAAAAACTACTTGTTTGCCTGTCTTCCTTCTTTCTTCCTTAAAACGCGGCCTATATGAAATGGCCATGCACATCTTTAAATGCTTTTTCCGAGCATTACTCGACTCTCCTCCTCCTGCTCGCCCCCGACTATAGTACACACGTGACCCAACTGGACTTGATTGGGAGATGTTTGCTTTTGTTGTGAAATCTTGCCTGCCTCTTGTCCTCTTCCTCCTGGTGGGCTCCGACTACGGTATGGTCGTCGGGATTTGTCCTCATTGCTACCATCTACATCTCTTCTCACGTACTTCTGTAACTTTCCTTCTTTGATCAATTGTTCAATGACGTTCTGTAAATTAAAACAGTCGTTTGTATAATGCCTGTACCCATGATGAAATTCACACCATTTGGTTTTGTCTGGAAACTTTGACTGAATGGGTGGCGGCCTTGGGACATTTCTCATTTCTGCCAACATTACTTCTTTAAATATCTGGGCTCTTGACGTGTTCAAAGGCGTGAACTCCCTCCGATATGGCTCTCTGAATCTTTCTCCGACTAGACGAGGTTGTCGCTCTTCAAACTGCCCTCTTCCTGCTGGTCTCTGCGGCCTCCGACTTTGACTTGCTTCCCGAAAACCTTGCTCAATTTGCTTTTGAGAAGATTTAAATTCTTCCAAATCAATATACTTTCTGATTCTTTCTAGCAAATCTTCCTTTGTAGCCAGAGCCTTTTTGGCTAACGAGTTGGCAATTCCTCCGGGTTGTAATCCAGTAGTGAACAACAACAGGTACGTTTGATTTTCTAAACCCTTAACTTGTCTTGCTTCTGCCTGAAAACGTTCATAATAATCTCGCAACTTTTCTCCGGACTTTTGTCTTACTCCGCACAAATTTTGCGTTGTTTTAGGCTGGCGTCCGCAATCACGAACCGTTGTGTTAAGTCCACCCAACTTTCTATGGAGTTATCTGGTAAAGCCGTAAACCACTCCAAAGCCTGTTTTCTCAAAAAGGAAATGTTCGACACAACAATGAATCTGATTCGCCACACAAGGACATTGATGCCCGGAACACGGTCACGAACTCCTTTGGGTCTGAACTTCCATCATACGCCTTCATGTCACTTGGTTGCTTAAACCAAATCGGGATTGGTTCTGCTCTAAGCCTCCCCGACAAAGGAGTTCCTGATGGTCCCTGATTAATGGGGGGCGCCAGAATCCCTTGTTGAGCTCCTCCGAGTTGTCCATTCCAAACGGGTACATCCTGCTCCCTATTGGCCATTTGTCTATTGCCATAATGAGGACCCCAGCCTTCTGCCTTCCCTGGTCCGTAATGCTGATAATCCCAATTTGCTTGTCGCCTTCCATCTCCTTGACTTTGATCTCTACCCCAGTAATGGTACTCGGTATCGTCTCGTGGAACTTCACCTCTGCGATTGCTATAATTTCTTCCTCCTTCCGGCCTCCACCTTTGATAAGTTTCTTTATATCGACCTCTGTTTACCTCTCGTTCATCTCGCCGAGTATAACCTTGACGGGCTCCTAAATACTGTTCTTCCTCCCATGTCACCTCTTCTTCCACCTGTTCATCTTCACTATTTTGATATTTCCTAGCCCGGCCTGTTCTCCGGGCATAATCCTCAAGTATCCTTTCTCCTATCCGCGGATTTGCTCCTCGTCCTCCGCCTTGATAGCCTCCCCTTTCTGGAGAACCCCTTGACTCTTGACAAAGTTGTCATCTCCTCCCTTCATTCCTTCTATTTCCCCCCACTGTTGGAGGTGATAAAGGAATATAGTTAGGAAGAGGAGACAAAGAATCTCGTCCTCTGTTGGGTGATTGCTGCTCATTCTCTACAAGATGCCTTTCCTCTGCTCCACGTCTCCTTTGCCCTCCTTCTAGATGTTGCCTATTCCTGATATCCTCCACTAACTGAATCAAAACTTCTCCAATGGTGTCTAGAGACCGATTCCTTCCACTGGATCGGAAAGAATCTTCCTCTCCTAGGTATCCTCCGTCGTCTTCCGCTCCCTCATCATGGTAATTGCTTGCCATGACTCAACAATATGCATAGGAATCTTTTTACCTTTTACCACAGACAGCGCCAAATGTTCTGTATGAACATTAGTATGATTATTGTCTATCCCCTCTGTTAGTTATGGTCTTTGGTATATATAACCCTTCCATATGTGGTTATTGTGAACGTGGGTAGTTATAGAAACCCATCATGTAATCGTGGTAGGGCCCACTTTGGGTTATAGTATTTTGGCCGACTTCCCTTCCGGGTAAAACCCCATCCGGGTTCTATCAACTCTTCTCCTTGACTATTGATACCCGGATGTATAAACCCGGAACAATTGTCGTTTAAGGTTTTAGACAAGGGTTGTGAAAATAATTGAATATATTTAATTTTAGGGAAATATAATTTTTCTAAGTTCGGGATAAAGATGTTGATGTTGATAATTATATTTGACTAAATTACCCTTTCACATAATTAATGTGTTAATTCCACTTACTCGAGATACAAAAAAAAAAAGAGGTAAGGATAAGATTGAAAAAAAATTAATGCCTTTTTTGTTTTCTAAAGTGACAGACAATTTGAAATGCAGGAAGTATATTGGATGCTTAATGGGGTTAGGGTAGTTAACATTAAGAACTTAATCTGTTACTTGTTTTTCATTGGTGTACTTAATTTTTCCACTTAGTTGAAACTGAATAATACAGTTTTTGTGCTTGTTTTATGTTATTGATCATTTCATCAACCAAATAATGTTGTACTTAATCTAATTACTATCATTATTGTTTTTCCTAATCCCACGTTACTTTGCAGAGGCTTTTGAGCAGAAGTATGATCCTAGTGTGTCTGCAGAAGCTAATGAAGGAGATGGATTTAGAGATTTAGTGCGGCATACCATGTTTGAAAAAGGTCAAAGTAAATGCATATGGGGTGAGCTCTACAAAGTGATAGATTCTTCTGATGTTGTTGTCCAGGTAGTGTCTCATCTTTTTGCTGAGATTTTGTTTAATTTTTCACATATGTCTATGTTGACTGATACTAACATGATGTGCATGTGTGTGTTTCCATTAGATATTATGATTTTGTATCTTAAGGTGAAAAAATGTGCATTATGGTGGGCATTTCTGCTTCAAATTTGCATGTTATCTATCTTGCTCTGTCAATTTAAACATTATTTTGATTTTTAATAAAGTTTGTCTTTGTCATGGGTAAAGTATAAAAGCTTGGTAGCTATAACGTATTCCACTTTTTTAAGCATTTTCGTTATATTGTTGTTTAAACGAAGAATGTAAAGAAAGGGAAGAGAGAATTAGCGAATCTAAAAAGACTGAGTTTCAAAATTGTGAAAAATGATAACCACACTTTAGAGAATTACACAGGGGTCTATTTATAGACCTACTGAACTAAGCTAACTTCAGAGAGTTAATTGACTATACAATATTAACTCACTGAGTTAGAATCTAATAGAAAACTAAGTCAGTTACAATTAGTTACAAGTCAGTTACTTTGTTGTAAGTTGTAACTGATTTTACAGGATATAAACTGAGCTACTCTAATATTCTCCCTTTCAAGCTCAAGGGGGTTTGGTTAGCATTGCATGATCCAAGACCTTGAGCTTGTCTTTGAGATCTGCAAATCCGGAAGTAGAAAGAGGCTTAGTGAAGGTGTCAGCAACCTGTAGGGAAGATGGAACATGCTGCACAATGAGGGACTTAGCCAGAACTTTTTCCCTGACAAAGAAGACATCTGGCTCCATATGTTTTGTTCGAGTGCAAAACTGGATTATGAGCAAGAGCAATTGTGCTCTGATTATCACATTAGATGACATGGACTTAAACTGGAATTTGGAGCTCTTGCAAAAGAGATTGCAACCACAAAATTTCAGCTGCAACATGGGCTAAGCTTCGATACTCAGTTTCAGCACTTGAATGTGCCACTAGGGATTGCTTCTTAGCCCACCAAGAGATGAGATTGGAGCCTAAGAACACACAAGCTCCAGAGGTTGATCTTCTATCATCCGGATCTGAATCCCAATCAGCATCACAAAAGGCCACAAGTGAGAGAGGGTGTTGTGATGAAGGTGGATGAAATACCAGACCATAGGATAAAGTGACATTGAGATACCTCAAAATGCGTTTAACAATTTTCCAATGTTCCTCAAGTGGCTGGGATAAAAATTGACAGACTTTATTCACACTAAAGGAAATTTCAGGTCTTGTTAATGTAGCATATTGCAGTGCTCCAACAATGGACCTGTAAAGCGAGGGATCAGGTACATAGTTAGAGCCAAATTTGCTTAGCTTGCATCCACTAGGCATAGGAGTGGAAATTCCTTTAGCTTCTGCCATTCCAGCTTTGTAAAGAAGATCTCTAATATATTTTGATTGAGATAACAGTATCCTTCCATTGGAGAGATGTTTAACTTCGATCCTAAGAAAGTAGTCCAGATTTCCAAGCTGTTTTAAGGCAAATTTAGAATGCAATTGATCAATTAGAAGTTGTATTAAGTCAGAATTGTTTCTTGTGATGATAATATCATCCACATAAACTAGAATATAGGTGCAGCTGCCATTAGAGCGAAGAATAAAGAGAGAGGGGTCACATTTGCGAGAAATGAAACCAAGATGATGAAAGAGTATCTCCAAAATTTTCCAACCAGGCCTTAGGAGCCTGTTTTAATCCATAAAGAGCCTTGGTGAGCCTGCATACTAGGGTCTTGTCAGTGACTTCAAAACCTGGAGGTTGAGACATATATACTTCTTCCAAGAGATCTCCATTGAGGAAAGCATTATTAACATCAAGTTGTTTTAAAGGCCATCCATGAAACAAAGCCAAGGTGAAGATAGTGCGAATAGTAATAGGCTTTACTACTGGGGAAAATGTTTCATTATAATCCTAGCCATATTGTTGATGAAAACCTTTGGCAACTAGCCTTGCCTTGTATTTATTAATTGTACCATCAGAATTTATTCTAAAGATCCATTTGCAACCAATGGGCTTCCTTGAGGCTGACAGAGGCATAAGAGACCATATTCCTGCTGAGAGCATCATATTCCTGCTGCATAGCTTGAGCCCATTTGGGGTCAGTTAGAGCTTGTTTAGCACTGGTTGGTTCCATATGAGCAGTGAAAATGGAAGGGACTGGACCTTTAGATCTGGTAATATAGTATGAGTAGGAGAGTGTATTTTAAGAGATTTATAGGGTTGATATCCAGATCCTAATGAAGGTGGAGAAGAAGATAAAGACATAGGAGAGACAGTGGACACAGGTGACTGCACTGTAGTATTTAAGGGTGGGGAGCTAGAGTTAGAAGACTGAGAATGATTGATTTGACTGGATGAGGGAGTAAAACTGGTGTTAGGAGATTTATCAGCAGTAGCAGAAGGTTGAGATGAACTGACTCTATTATGTGAGGAATTAGAGTTAGGTGAAATAGAGGATGGTACTGCACTGTCAGAAGAAAAAGGCGGTATAGCACTGTTAGAAGAATGAAATGATGTATCATGTATCAAGTTAGGAGCAGAGTCATCGGTATGTCCAGAGAAGGAAACATTTGAATTGGTTCTTATTGCTGCAGTTGGTGACCCTGAGGTAGTGGTCTGAGGAAGTGATGGAGAGAATGTATTAGGAGAAGTAGAAGCTAGTGGGATGATATTGCTTGAGTAAGTGGAATTATTTGGGATGCTTGATGAGGTTGAAGAAAATATGAATGGAAAGGGAAATATGTGTTCATTAAAGAGTACATCTTTAGATATGTAAATTTCTCCATCAAGAGTTTAGGCATTTATAACCTTTGTGACTGGGTGAGTATCCCAGGAAAACACATTCCTGAGATCTGAAATCAAATTTGTGCTTATTGTATGGACGAAGTAGAGGAAAACAAGCACATCCAAATGTGCGAAGGATTTTATAATTAGGAAATGTTTTATAAAGTTCATAGTAGGGAATTTTGAAGTTTAAAGCTGATGTAGGCAGTCTATTTATTAAATAGACAGATGTAAGAAAAGCATGATCCCAGTACTTAAGGGGAAGGAAAACATGTGCAAGAAGAGTCAGTCACATGTCAACAATTTGTCCGTGTTTTCTTTCAACTAACCTATTTTGATGATGAATATGAGGACAAATCAGTCTATGAATTATTCCCAAGTCTGTAAGAAATTTTGTGAAGGGTCTAAATTCACCACCCAGTCAGTTTGGACAGATTTGATGCTGTGTTTAAATTGAGTGGAAACAAAGGAGTGAAACTGTTTGAAGATGCTTAATGATTCTGATTTTTGTTTGAGGGGATAAATCCATGTATACCTTGTTGTAACATCAACAAATGTAATATAATGCATAAAGCCTTGAGATGAAGGAATGGGTGCAGGTCCCCACAAATCACTAAAAATAAGTGCAAAGGGCTCATTATATTATGTGGAAGAAGGAAAATTAGATAAAACTCAATTTTGTAACACCCCAAATTTCTAACAATTTATAAAACAATCTTAAAATAAATAAATTGTCAAAATTCATTTTTTTTACAATTATAATAATAGAAATATTGTGGAAGCTAATCTAAATCTAATTTGGGGAATGTTACCGCCGCACCTGTACAATGGACAGGTGCAAGGCTAAATTTATTACATTAAAATAAAACCAAAGACTAAAGTTTAAATAAAGGAAATATGTCTCATGCATTTATTTAAATCTCATAAAATTTCTAAACTTAGGAACTAGCTAGAAATATCCGAGTCGTGATCCTCACTGCCCACAGCTCGCCCCATCCTTTGCAACATGCTTCACTGAAAATCTGCTCCCCCGTGAAGGATCATTGCAGTTAAACAAACACAAAAGTCAGCAAAAGCTGGTAATCCCAATCAAAATACAATTAATGTAATTAATAACAAATTAAATCAAATATCAAATAGTGTTCAAATCAATTCCTCATTAATCAAATCAAATATCAATATAATAATCAAAATTTCATTATATAATATTTATCTTTATTAAGTTCATTTAATGTATTTGTAATTATCAACTAACATATTTAGCACAACATTAATCATAATATGATAATATTCACAACTCAATGACATTCTTCATAATCAAATCAAATAACAAATTTCATTATTAATAATGTTTAAGTTCATTATATTTAGTGTTAAGAGAACCATGGTAGACCCGGGAAACCCTGCCAGTCTACCCTGTGACCTGGGAAACCCTGCCAGTCACAAACAAATCACATTGGCCATAATCAATTCACATCTTCCTAGTGTGCACACCTCTTCCCAAAGTTGCTACTAGTATCCCGGGAAACCCTGCCAGACACCACTTTGGGAAGAACAGATATAATCTTTTTTCACATCAGTTTCACATCGGAGGCATAAAGCCCAAAAGTTGTGTTCATCACTTTGGGAGGTACCATCCCAAAGCTATCCTCCCACCATTAATTTATTACAAACACACACAATCACGAAAGATTCAATCATAATTATTTATTCTTTAAGTATTATCATCTCTAAGTGAGTTACTCAAGGGCATTATAATTTTCCAAAGTATCATAATTTTTTCTTTTTGGAAATATTCCATCGGTTCATCGCTTCGCGATTAGTCCGATTCGGGGCGGGTCCAGGATTAAGGCTTTAAACCCCTCCCAAAGGTGGTACTGGGGAGATTCGAACACATGCCCTCACCCCCACCTGCTCAGCTCCCATGCGGCAACTGAGCTACCACCATTTGGTAAAGTATCATAATTCAAACAACTATTATCATAAATTTTTGAATTTATATAACAATTCAAATCTTCAACATTCATCATAGTAAAATCCAAATCCGATCATCATCATAACTTTCCAATTTATTCAAGGATATGATAATTCAAATCTTCAACATTCATCACAGTAAAATCCAAATCCGATCATCATCATAACTTTCCAATTTATTAAAGGATATGATAATTCAAATCTTCAACATTCATCACAGTAAAATCCAAATCCGATCCTCATCATAACTTTCCAATTTATTCAAAGATATAATAATTCAAATCTTCAACATTCATCATCAAAAACATTCATCATAGAAAAATCCAAATCTGATCCTCATCATAACTTTCCAATTTATTCAAGGATATAATAATTCAAATCTTCAACATTCATCATAGAAAAATCCAAATCCAATCATCGTCATTCAAATAATCTCATCACATCAATTATCATAGTTATTAATAATATAAATATTCAAATTCAATCATTAAAACACATATTTGGAAAGTTTTTCTTAAAGAGTATTATAATTCCATAATTTTCATAATTATTCAATAAGATCTATATATTGCACATACTTATAATTTCTAAAATAATAACATTTTATATCATATATTGCACATAATCATAATTTCTAAAATAAAAGTTTATATCATATATTGCACATAAATACCTATATATATAGAAATGTTCATACCAAACTATTAAGAACATCTACGGATTACGTATAAGGATTATGCCCAAATTTCATATAATAGAGATAACCTAAAGACTTCATCATAAAGTTTGCTAATTGTTTCATTGAGAAAAATAGCTTCTTTCTTTTCTTCTTTTCGTCTTCCAAAACAAGGAAGTTGAGGTTGTCTGAGAAGAAAAGGGGAGAGTTGTGTGAATTGCCCAAAGAGACGAACACTAACAGCAAATCAAGGAAGAACCTCCGATTCATTTACGTCATGGGAGAGTGCCTCCGATTCGTTTCTTCGTTTGTGTTTGTAGGTATTGTTGTTTATACTCTTTTGTTCGTTTTGTGTTTTTTATACTGATTCTCTTTTTTTTTCGTTTTTCAGGGCGAAAGGTTTCTTGCTACAGTGAATAGTTTTTGCCCGTGTTTTCTTTCTTCGTTCGTTTTTGTAGCTGATGTTGTATTTTTTTTTATTCCTTTATAAACAAATGATCTTAATTCGTTTTCATTTTTTGTATACTAATTTTCTTTTGATCGTTTTGTGTTCTGTATAATGATTCTTTTTTTTGTTTTTTCAGGGCGGAAGGTTTCTTGCGTGAATAGTTTTTGCCTGTGTTTTGTTTCTTCGTTCGTTTTTGTAGCTGATGTTGTATTTTTTTTGTTCCTTTATAAACAAATGATCTTAATTCGTTTTCATTTTTTCTATACTAATTTTCTTTTGATCGTTTTGTGTTCTGTATATTGATTCTCTTTTTTAATTTTTCAGGGCGGAAGGTTTCTTGCTACTGTGAATAGTTTTTGCCTATGTTTTGTTTCTTCGTTCGTTTTTGTAGCTGATGTTGTATTTTTTTTTGGTTCCTTTATAAACAAATGATCTTAATTTGTTTTCATTTTTTGTATACTAATTCTCTTTTGTTTGTTTTGTATTCTGTATACTTATTCTCTTTATTTCGTTTTTCAGGATGGAATGTTTCATGTTTCTTGCTACTGTGAATAGTTTTTTGCCTGTATTCAATGTCTTCGATGCTGTGTAGTGCTTGCCTGTGTTTTTTGTCTTCAACGTCTTCGATGCCTGTGAATAGTTTTTTGTCTTGATGCTGAAAAAGAATTTGTAACCGATGGATAAATTTCTAATAGCACAACATATTAATTTCATATTTTTTTAGAGAGTGTTTCTTCATTTTGTTGTGTTTGGGGCTCTTATTTTCTGTACCCAGAAAATAATTATTATTTCAACTTCTCATATTGTAATTGTCTTGATTCATAATATCAAATTCAAATTTCTAAATTATTTTCAGCTTTGTGTTCACACCCACAGGAATTTGAAATGTTTCCTATTATAATAACTTTTCATATTTTTAAAAACTCAATTAAGATCTCACTAACTCCTGCATTGGTATTTGCCAGGCCTATTAAAATTCCAGTAACTTTTAAAATTCGAAATTTAAACTTAATATAAGAGTAAAAAAAGTTCAGCATTAATTGGTGGCAAACATCTATATTAATACCCCCACTACTGCTTACCAAAAAAAAATACCCACACTACTTTTTCAAAATTCGAATTTTAAACATAATATAGGTAGAAAAAGATCAACATTAATTAGTGGCAGACAATTGTATTAATATCTCACTATTTTCTACATAGAAATGAGAATAATAATATTTATTGAAAAGTGTATATTAATTTAATACAAAAAATATGTTCAAAAAACCTCCTTTAGTTCGTTGAAAAGTTCATTAATGTATGTTGATGGAATAAAATTAAAATGAATACCAATTCCCTAAATTTTCAACATTTGAATTTATTGATGATTTTAATGGTGAGATAACGTATGCTACAATTAAAGTTTACAATCAAATACAAGTGAATGCATTAGTATCTATTCAATGGAGTTATATAATTGTGACAGTACAAAAATAATTATATAATTGTGTAAACGTTTTAAATTTATATGTATAACCAATTCGGTATAAAATTATAAATTACAAAAATAATACAAAGAATTTAAATTTTAAATTTTAATAAAATAAAAATGACATCTATCGTTTTGTAAAAAATAAATTATAAAAATTTAATCACTACAAAAATGTAATTTAATATATAAGAAATAAATTTAGCTTTTATTCTTTTGATGTAAGAGTGTAATTAACACAATTTTCTATGTCGTGAGTGAATAACTAGAAGTTATTACTTGGAGAATATGCACGGTTTTTAATACATGTTTTCCACTACTTTTTGTGAAAGAATTTAAGTTTATTAATAATATTTATTATTTAAGTCTATTGAGTGAGAATTTTTTTAATATTTATAATTCAAACTTTTAAATTTAAATTTTGAATTTGATAGGTGAAAAAATAGTTCAGCATTTATTGTTTCTGCAGTGTAAAAAGAGATATATATAATAAATTTAAATTTAATATAAAATTATAGATTAAACAATAAAAATTTTAAAATTATAAAATACATTTATAGTCGATAAAAATTATTTAAAATTTAAAATTTAAAAGAAAAAATAAGAAATGGCATAATTTATAATTTACAAAAAATAAATTTAAATTTTAACATAAAATTTTTAAATATACATGTATAACCAATTAAAAAATATATAAAAATCATAAATTAAAATAAAAAAAATTATATTTAAAAAATGTATAATTAACATAAAAAGTTTTGAATTTTAAATTTAAATAAAAAATGACAATTGTCATTCTGTAAATTTTTTTTTTAAATTAAAGAACTATAAAAATGAAAATTTTTATTTAATACATAAGAAAGAAATTAAACTTTCATTTTTTTATTGCAAGAGTGTAATTAAAATGTTGACAGCTAGAGGTGGAAAACTGCGGGCCGGCCCGCCAATATATTTTTATAATTCAATTGAAATATTATCTTTCTTCTTTTATAATTAAATTATTAAATTAGATCTCAATTTTTATAAATACAAATTTGTGAAATTTCAAAGACTAACGACACTAATCCTTGCAAAAAAAAATTATTTATATAAAATGCTGATAGTTAGAGGTGGAAAGCTGAGCTCGGCCCAGAGGGCCGGCCCGCTAATATATTTTTATAATTCAACTTAAATTTTATCTTTCTTCTTTTATAATTAAATTACTAAATCTGATTTCAATTTTTGTAAATATAAATTTGTGAAATTCCAAAGACTAACGACACAAATCTTTGCAAAAAAAATAATTATTTATTGTTATTTTTTAAATCTGATTGTAGTAAATGAAAGTTCATTTCTAAGATATAATATAAAAACCTAGACATAACTATAAAAATCTTTTTTTGTGGATAAGTATAAATTATCTAATAATATAATTTGAAATAAGTTAACTAATATTAATAAGGTAAAAATATTTATTCTTTAAAGGAAATAGAGTTATTTCATTTTAAGTGTGAAAGAGACACAACTTAAAAAAATGTATTTAAAATTTAATTTTTTAAAAAATACTTACTTTCTTTTCTATTATTTTCATTGTTTGTGTTTTTTTCTCACTTGAAATAATATAATTCTATGTCATTTAAAAGGACAAACATTAAATCTTACTAATAATTAGATAAAATAAATTAAAGAAATCAAAATAAAGATAAAATAAACTAATTCAGATGATATAATTTGAATTATGTTAGTTTGATTATGACAGTTTTTGTAAATACACCCTCTGATTGAGTGGCGATACCTCTTGAATTTACGAAGAAAAAAAGACTATTTTATTTACACACAATTTCATTACAAAAATTTTCTGCCATTTTTATAAGTAATAAAATAGAAAAAAACACATTTTTAAATACACATTCTCTCTCGTTCTTTTTTCTTTTATTAGGTATAACGGTGTAAGATAAGGTATACAAAATTCTTTTTTCTTATTCCAAACATTTAAATTTCATTTTAAAATTATTCGAAACAGTTTTTATTAATTAAAAATATTATCAAAGTAGGTGAGTAAGCATGACTTTATAATAAAAACAACTTTCAACCAAAATACTCTGACTCTCAAATATATATTTTTTTATGGTTCAGAATTAGGGGTGTTCATCAACCGATTCAAACCGCGGTAACCGAAAACCGAAAAATCAAAAACCGAAAAAAAACCGCAAATTTTAATTGGATTGGATCGGTTTTTGGATGAGTTGATGAAAATCGATCCAATCCAAACCGATCCAATATATTAATTCTCCTCTACCTACTTGGGTCTTTCCTTAATTATAACCAAAAAATTTCTAAACCCAAGACCCATTAACTAAATCCAAGAAAAAATCTAATCACATCTCATCAACAAAATTTTATCTTTGTAGAGCTTCATATCTCATTGTCCAAAAAAAAAACTATATTATAGTTTACTAATGTTTTTGTATTTCAAAAAATAATAATTTACAAAGAGAATATATACAAAAGATGTTATTTGCACAATAATCATGAAATAAATTTTAGGATTTTCTAAAAACCGAAAACCGATCCAATCCAAACCGAAAAAAATTGGATCGGATCGGATCGGATTTGAAAAAAAATCCAAACCGAATGGATAATTATATGATCAAACCGAAGGGATTGGATCAGATGATTTTTGCTTCCAAAACCGATCCAATCCAGACCGCGAACACCCCTATTCAGAATCATCGAATAATCTGATGCTCTTTATCATATCATCAATTTTTTTTTCCTTTTTTACCATTGTGATATTTTCTTTTTTTCAATTTTATTTCTCCATTTACACTGGTCCCCACCACTCCACTATAAATAATCTCCCCGGTTTAATCCTTTTCGCAAAAAGAAAAGAAAAGAAAAGTTCCCACCGTTTGTCTCTGGAGAACGAAACCCTAATCCTTAACTGTGTGTATTTGGCGGTACCCCTCTTTCAGTTGGAACAAACCAAGTTGCCGCCACCGTGCGCCGCCTCAAGATGTACAACACGAGGCCAGTTCGCGACCGCAAGGGAAAGGTTTTGACCAACGAATATCAGTCTAAGGAGCTTCCCAGCACACGAATCCAACCTGATCGCCGTTGGTTCGGTTAGTTTCAATTTCACAACAAAAAATAAAATAATAATCAAGATTCTTCAACTTGAACTTGTGAATTTTATGGTTTTGACAATTTTATTTTATTTTAATTTTTTGGTTTCATGATCTGTAGGGAACACTCGGGTTGTGAATCAGAAAGAGCTTGAGTTCTTCAGAGAAGAGCTGCAGAGCCGCATGTCGAGTAATTACAATGTTATTCTGAAGGAGAAGAAATTGCCACTGTCACTCCTCAACGACCACCAAAAGGTTTATTTATTAAGCTGTTTATTTGTTGCAAGGATTTTGTTTTGTTTGTTAATAGTTATGTGCTTTCTTTTATTATTATTTTTTTTGAAATTTACTAATTTTGTGGATTTCGAATGTAGCAATCAAGGGTTCACCTTCTTGATAGACAGCCTTTTGAGGATGCATTTGGACCTAAGACTAAAAGAAAGCGCCCCAACCTCTTGGCGGCTGATTACGAGTCCTTAGTTAAGAAAGCTGATGGTTCTCAAGGTAAAACTGCTTCTCTATAATTTAGTACTCCTCGTTTGAAAATTATTGCTGTTGTGTATGAACATTAGTATGATTATTGTCTATCCCCTATGTTAGTTATGGTCTTTGGTATATATAACCCTTCCATAGGTGGTTATTGTCAACGTGGGTAGTTATAGAAATCCATCATGTAATCTACCTACTTTGATTTTCCCATTCACCCCTTTCCTTTTTCTCCTTAAAACCCCCACCTTCTTTTCCATCATCTTCTTCTTCATCTCCTTCTCTTTTAAGTTTTCTGGTCTTTTGTTCTTTCTGTGCTTTCTTGAAATTCTTTGTGCAAACTTGGTGTGATGTTGTTGCATTTAGTTGTTGTTCTTCATCAAACTACTCTGCTGCATTTGGTTGCTGTTCGTTATCAGACTATACCAGTAAGTACTTTCATCT